ATGTATTTTGGAAGGGTTTTCTCCACGGGAGCTTTCCCAGGGGAGATCCCAGAGCCCCACAGCCCCAGGGAGGAGGTGAGTCCAGGGATGGCTCCAGCTCCATGGGGGTGACACACAGAGAGGAGGTTCCTCACCCCAGAACTGCATTTCCCCTGCTCCCAGCCCCCTGGGCAGGGTAGGAGGCTGGAGGAGTTGAAATCACAGGGAAATTATTGATTACAGGCCTGGCTACATCATCCAGGTGGGAGAAAGGGGCTGCTCCCAGCTCCTTTGAAGGCTCCCATTATGGATGAGGTGCTCCATCAATATCCCCCCTTGGATGAATAACCCACATCATGCACGGGGGAATTTCAGCTGCAGAGCTCTCCTCCCTGCTCTCCATCCTCAGCTGCTGCTCCTGGATCCTCCTGCACAGCTGGGCTCTGCCTTTGCCTTGGAATGGGCCAGAATCATGGAATAGGTTGGGCTGGAAGGGAGCTTAAAGTCCATCATGTTCCTGACACCTCCCACTGTCCCAATGTCCAGCCCGGCCTTGGGCACTGCCAGGGATCCAGGGGTGCCACAGCTGCTCTGGGAATTCCATCCCAGCCCCTCCCCACCCTGCCAGGGAACGATTCCTGCCCAAAATCCAACGTAAACGGACCCTCCTTCAGGTGAAAACCATCAATGCCCCACTGCCACTTCCAGAGCTCTGAGCCTGACAGGAATTCACAGCTCAGGTGAAGGATCAGGAGGACTGAGCTGGACTGAGGGAAAAGCTCAGCTTTGCTCCAGGCCTGCACCCTCAGGACAAGGACTGGATGGAGGAATCCCACCCTGAGGAATCCAAAGGACTCATCCAGCGAGGACAGCGTGGCAGGAGAGGAGCAGAACCCCAGGGCGAAGGAAAACTCTGCTGTGCCTCCAATTTCCTCTGTCCTGTGCTCTAATGAGCCATCTGGTTCTGCAAACAGGCAGCACAGCCACCCTGTGCCACCCTGTGCCACCCTGTGCCACCCTGTGTCACTGCAAATACACAGCACAGCCACCCTGTGCCACCCTGTGCCACCCTGTGCTCAGTGAAATTTCCCACTGCATGCTGGCCATGACATAGGTTGTTAAAATTATTTATAATAATATATCAAATAGATCGATATAATTATTAATTATCAATAGAAGTAATTAATTATATTATTATATTAATAGAAAATATATTTATAACAATAATTATTATTCCATATTTTCAATTATGTTTAAAAATAAATATATTGGCTGTTTATAAATTGGAGAGCCAGTAAGGGAGAACTCCTGAAGGTGCTGGGAAACCCAACTTTTCCCTCTCCACAACTCCCTGACAGGGGGTCAGGAACAAGGGACAGGATTTGGGGAAATGGCCTCAAACTGCAGCAGGGAGGTTCAGGCTGGAGGTCAGGGGAAAATTCTTCATGGAAAAGCTGCCCAGCCCTGGCACAGCCTCTCCAGGGCTGGAGTCCCCATCCCTGGTGGCATTCCAAAACCACCTGGGGCACATGGATGAGTGGCTGCCTGATCCTAAAGGCCTTTTCCAGCCCTAATGGGTCTGGGATTCCCTGATTCTCCTGCCTGCCTCCAGGTTCAGATTCCTCCTTTGCCAATCCCAAGTTACAAGAGGAATGCTTGATTTTGTATTTTAAGTGCTTTTAGACACATTTACCCCATTTAACAGTAATTTGGAACATTAAAGGCACTTTAGAAAAATGCAAGATATAGGAGAAGCCACTGAAACAGCAGATACTGAATTTTTATAGAATTTCTTAGTGAATATAAAACAGATCATCTCTACTTTGTAAATCTGCAAATCTCTCTGTTTTTGTTATGTCAGAGTTGATTGTCACGATTTTTCTCTCCACAAGGAACGATGTCTGGGCTGGCACAAAAGCAGCTGCAGAAAACTGACCATGAATTCAGAAGTTTCATCCCAAAAGCACTTTACACTTTTTTTTTGCTAGATGAGGAACTTTTTTAATGTGTTTTTTTGGCATAAGCAAAACCCTCCTAGTCCCCAGATGAAGTTAGTGTAGAAAAAGAAAATAAAATTTGATGTAAGCACCGATTAGGAAGAAATTATGCAACAGTCAGTCTTGATGACAAAAACACTCGAGTATGGAATTTGAATCCTCTCTCAAAGAGCAATACTGTACATGGTCACATTTACAGGGAAAGGGGAGAGGAGCCACAGGTTTTGGTGACTGTGGAATCACAGAATTCCAGCCTGGTTTGGGTTGGAGGTCCCTGAAAGCTCATCCACCTCCCACCGCCCCAGCCTGCTCAGGGCCCCACTTGAAAAGCTGCTGCTGAACAGAAATGTAAGGAAATCAGAGTGGTGAGAAAAAGCCTTTCTGGCTTTGGATCCTCAGCTCTCACTGATGTTTGTTCTGTGTTTTTAAGTGCCTGGAGAAATGAGCAGGCACTTTCAAATGTAAATGTGCATAAGCAAATAAATACCAAATTCCTAATTTAGCAAAACTGCAATTCTGATGTGCAGATAAACTGAAGTGCAATCCATCATAATTTGATTTTTCCATCACCCTTCTCCTAAATAACTTCTAAAACCAGTTCCTTCCAATTTTTGTCATCTATTTCCACAGTCTTTCCTACATAAAATTTTTTCAGTTTTATGAAAGAATGAGCAGGAGAAAGTGACAGAAGAACAGAAACAGAAAATCACAACAGAAATTGTTGTGATTTAAGCCAATTAATTCCTCATTAGCATTTCCATGATGTAGGAGCCTTCCCCCAATAAACAAAGCTAAAAAGAATTCAGGAGCCCATTTAGGAAAACTAATGAAAAGAAAATGTTGTATTTATATATTTTTTATAATGTTTTGTCTGTAAGATTTAATGTTTTATAATCTTCTGATGGATAATCTGGGAGGGAGAATTCCCCTGCTGCTGTTTGGAGATGGCAGGAGCAGCAGCATCAGTGGGATTTCCTAACCAGCTCTGCCCATTCACATCCACCTCAAAGTTTCCACAACATTTTACCCCAACTAATAAAAAAACTCCACAGTACCTCCCTGGAATTTGACTGTGAAAGATCTGGCACTGGGGAATGTGCATAACATGGGAGAGGAGGTGCAAAAGGTGATGATGGAACAAAGCTGCTGTGCAAAGCTCAGAGATGCTGAGATTCAGGATCTCAGAAATTATGGCATTTGGGGCAGGCAAGAAGGCACTGTGAACATCAGACTTCTGAGATTATTTATTATTTATTTATCTATATATTTATTTATCTATATATATATATATTTATTTATATATATATTTATTTATATTTATATTTATATTTATATTTATACTTATACTTATACTTATATTTATATTTATATTTATATTTATATTTATATTTATATTTATATTTATATTTATATTTATATTTATATTTATATTTATATTTATATTTATATTTATATTTATATTTATATTTATTATCAGTAGTATTAGTATTAGTATTAGTATTAGTATTATTAGTGTTAGTATTAGTATTAGTATTAGTATTAGTATTAGTATTAGTATTATTAATATAGATATTTGGAGCAATTTCATTTCAAATGATCAGTTTCTGTTATGAGGCCTTCAGGAACACAGCCCATAAATGGGATATGGTGAGGAAGAACTTTTCTCAGGTGTTGCTTTTATCTAAATTCATTATTAGAACAACTTCGTGGTAACAATGCTCTTTGTTTAAAAATATTATCCATGATAACTTTGAGGAATAAAACCACAACAACCTCACACAACCTATCCCTGACTGCTTCCCTGGCATTCTGACAGGGACACAGAACCTGAGGCTTGAAAATCCCTCTGAGCCCACCAATTCCAGCAGGTCCCCAGCACTGCCAAGGCCACCCATGTCCCCAAGTGCCACATGCAAAGGCTTTCAAACCCCCACTTCTTGGTGGCCAAAAGCCACTTTAGGTCGCCCCAGCTCACAGAGCAGCTCACACCCCTCCAGGTGTGCTCATACCCGACTTTTCAGTGCTGTTTTAATGAAACATCCCACTGTAAAGCTGTGCTGGTCGTGTGGAGCTGAATATCCATTTACCCCAAATATCCCCAAAAAGTTAAGGCAGGCGTGTGACAGACATGTGACACTGCTGGCATATTAGAGGGCACCACATGACTGCAAACAAAAAGTTCTGGGTCAAAAAAATAAAATAATAAATAAAATAAAATAAAATAAATAATAAATAAAATAAAATAAAGCAAAATAAAATAAGATAAAACAAAATAAAGCCAAATAAAATAAAATAAAAAATAAAATAAATAAAAACAAAATAAAAAGTAAAATAAAATTAAAATAAAATAAAGCAAAATAAAATAAAATAAAGCAAACAAAATAAAAGTAAAAATAAAATAAAAAATAAAAGAAATCAAAACAAAAAGTAAAATAAAATAAAAATAAAATAAAGCAAAATAAAATAAAATAAAGCAAAACAAAAAGTAAAATAAAAATAAAATAAAAAATAAAATAAAACTAAATATAAAATGCACACTAAACCCCAACAGTCACACTTGGTTGTTGACCGGGTAAAAATACAAAACTGTCCACTTCAAATTTTTTGAGGTGCCAGGCAGCACCCAGCATAATTCAGGAATGAAGACAAGTGCAGTGTCACACTCTGATGGAAGTGGAAACTATTTAAATAATATTAATGTGGTTTAAATAAATGTTCCTCATTATTCCAGCCCCACTAAAAAAAAAAAAAATAAAAAACATTGTTACTTTTTAAGGAAAAAATAAAAAATTCTCCAGGGTGAAAACAAAGCAGCCAGATTTCTTACACACTTTTTTTAGGATTTGGGTTATTCATTTTTCAATGAACACAGTTGTGTTACTTTCCTGTGTAAAAGTAAAATTGCATCTTGTTGATCACAAGTTTAAGATTTAAATTTTCCAGCCGAGCCACGATGTTTTACAGAGCGAGGATGAGGGAGATGGAGCCGGGGCTGATGCAGAGGGCAGGGAGGGTGGCACTGACCTCTCTGGAGCAGGGGGTGGTGCAAGGCTGGCACGGGCAGGGTCTCTGTGGTCGCTGGCTCGCAGAAGTAGGCTCGGAGCCAGGCCGTGCACTGCTGCAGGGGCTCCGGCATCTCCTCGGGCCCCTCGCACACCTCGCAAGCCACCCAGGGCTCTGCCCTGCTGAGACACACACAAGTGCAAGGTTACAGTGGTAAAAGTGACAAAACCAGGCTGGACTGGGCTCTGAACAACCTGCTCCCTCGAGTGGAACAACACGGGCTTGAAGGTCCCTTCCAAACAAAACAACGCTGTGATGCTGCGATAAAAACGAGTATTCACACTCTATTGGCAAAATAAAAACCTCAAAACATTTAATCTGGAGTCAGGTGTCTATTCTTCCAGGAGAAAAGTAAAGGATTCCTCACAGCAGTAATAAAAACTCACCCTCATCACCTTCACAAATGCAAAGATGACACAGCGCTATAAACACCTGCAAAAACCCACGGAAGGTGGGTACGAGGGAACAGCCACATGGGGAATGTCAGAGAGCAGGAACACCACCCAGGCCCATGGAGGATGACACGTCCTTGTGCTTCTAAGTGGTAAAAGTGACAAAACCAGGCTGGATGGGCTCTGAACAACCTGCTCCCTTTAGTGGAACAACACGGGCTTGAAGGTCCCTTCCAAGCAAAACAACGCTGTGATGCTGTGATAAAACCGAGTATTCACACTGTATTGGCAAAAATAAAAACCTCAAAACATTTAATATGGAGTCAGGAGTCTATTCTTCCCAGAGAAGAAGACAGCAGTAACAAAAACTCACCCTCATCACCTTCACAAATGCAAAGATGACACAGTGCTATAAACACCTGCAAAAACCCACGGAAGGTGGGTACGAGGGAACAGCCACGTGGGGAATGTCAGAGAGCGAGAACACCACCCAAGCCCATGGAGGATGACACGTCCTTGTGCTTCCAAGTGGTAAAAGTGACAAAACCAGGCTGGCCTGGGCTCTGAACAACCTTCTCCCTCGAGTGGAACAACACAGGCTTGAAGGTCCCTTCCAAGCAAACAACGTTGTGATGCTGCGATAAAACTGAGTATTCACACTGTATTGGCAAAATAAAAACCTCAAAACATTTAATCTGGAGTCAGGCGTCTATTCTTCCGGAGAAAAGTGAAGGGATTCCTCACAGCAGTAATAAAAACTCACCCTCATCACCTCCACAAATGCAAAGACAACACAGCATTATAAACACCAGCAAAAACCCACGGAAGGTGGGTACGAGAGAACAGCCATGTGGGGAATGTCAGCGAGCGAGAACACCACCCAAGCCCATGGAGGATGACACATCCTTGTGCTTCCAGGTGGTAAAAGTGACAAAACCAGGCTGGACTGGGCTCTGAACAACCTGCTCCCTCGAGTGGAACAACACAGGCTTGAAGGTCCCTTCCAAGCAAAACAACGCTTAGATGCTGCGATAAATCCGAGTATTCACACTGTATTGGCAAAATAAAAACCTCAAAACATCTAATCTGGAGTCAGACGTCCATTCTTCCTGGAGAAAAGTAAAGGATTCCTCACAACAGTAACAAAAACTCACCCTCATCACCTCCACAAATGCAAAGACGACACAGCGCTATAAACAGCTGCAAAACCCCACGGAAGGTGGGTACGAGGGAACAGCCACGTGGGGAATGTCAGAGAGCGAGAACACCACCCAAGCCCATGGAGGATGACACGTCCTTGTGCTTCCAGGAGGGCCAGAGGTGAGGATCCTGCTCCGTGTCCCCGGGGGTGCAGTCCCTTGTCCCCAGGCCATCCCTGGGGAAGGAGGGAAGGAAGCAGCTCCCGCTTCCTCCAGCGCCACGGCAGGTCTCTGCTTCCCTGCCCTGATTGAATTGGAAGGAAGCAATTGAGAATTCATTTGATTTTCAATGGCAGCTCTGTGCTTGCAGGGGCTGAGGAGCAAAGTGAGCGAACAGAAAGCACCTGTAAATAAAAATGTGCTTCTTCCCTTGCTCCTTCTTTTTTTTCTTTTCCTCTGGAAGAGCAAGGTGTGGAGGAGAGCGGTGAAAAAGGGAGCCCTGGATTTGCACATGAAAACACCAATAAAAGAGAAAAACTCCATCTCCTCACGGCTCTGGGAGCAGCAACTCTGGGCTCAGCCTCCAGCTGCTGACAGGGACCGGCCCAAGGGCACCCAACCATCATCAGTCACCCCCAAAACAAGTGGGGAGCAGCCAGGGAGATTCTGGGAGCCCCTCCCAGGACCTGGAGGGGCTCCAGGAGAGCTGCAGAGGGACTGGGGACAAGGAATGGAGGGACAGGACACAGGGAATGGCTCCCCCTGCCAGAGGGCAGGGCTGGATGGGAGATTGGGAATTGGGAATTGTTCCCTGGCAGGGTGGGGAGGGGCTGGGATGGAATTCCCAGAGGAGCTGTGGCACCCCTGGATCACTGGCAGTGCCCAAGGCCAGGCTGGACACTGGGGCTGGAGCAGCTGGGACAGTGGGAGGTGTCCCTGCCATGGCAGGGGTGGCACTGGGTGGGATTTAAGGTTCCATTCCGAGCCAAACCACCATGCACACACACATTCCTCACTTGTCCAGGTGCTCCCTGGCAGAATAGATAGAATTTATTTTTAATTTTCCTTTTAATTGCTGCTTTTAATCACAGTGCCCTGCCACTGCTGAACATCTCCAGATGTTTTTGGTGGGGCCGTTCTCCCAGCAATTCAACACCAGAGGCTTTCCCAACACCTGCCACCTCCATGGCCACCCCACCTTGGCCAGGAAAGGGAATGCTTTGCGAGGCAGAAATGAATTTGCTCTCCAGGAATGCTCTTTTCCTGCAGGACACACACTCCACGTGCCAACACACACACCCTGAGCTTCAAACTGGCAGGGAGCTGAAAAAAAAGGAAAACCTTCACATTCATTTTGCTTGGCTAGAGGTGGCAACAGATATTCCTGGGAATTTGACAGCTTTACTGGAGGAAAAAGAAGGCACACAAGTCATGCATGGTGTCTTCTGCTGGCCCTCCTCCCCTCCCTGCCCTTCCCTCCTCCCCTTTCCATCTCCAAACTGGCACAGCAGAATTTCCACAAACTACCTCGGCATTAAATATCCCACTGAAAACACCAGCTGCCTTTTAAGGGATTGTCTCAGGCTTCAAAGCCTTAAGGACCATCAAAGAGCAGAGTCCAAGAGGTCTCAAAACCTCGGTAAGAAGAGCAGAGGAGTTACATCATGGGAAATTCCCCTCCTGGAAGGAAATCCCTCTGCTCAGGGTCAGATTTCTTGGAAGGTTTCTCAACACCCTACTCCAGGCACGGATCTTTGGTCACCTCTGAGTCAAGACAGACAGGAAGAAGCTGAAATTTAGGGAAAAGCACACACCTGAGAGTCACACGAACTACCTGGGTGTGGGAACCCAGGGCTTCCCTCTGGCTGCCCTGGCAGGTCTGGGACCCTGGCAGGGGTCAGGAACCCCCCTGGACAGAGCCCCCAGAGACACTGGCTGTGATCTCTGTCCATGGAAAAGAGTTTTCAATCTTACAGGATGAATTACAAGCTCTGAGTGCTTGATATGAGTAATAATTAAGTGTGGCACAGGTGCAAAAGTAAAATTTTAGTATTTTGGATGAGGGGTCCAAAGGGGACAAGATGGAGGAAATTGGGTGTGCCTTGTCCTTTTTCTCCTTCTTCATGCCCTCCATGTTTCACTGTGGTGTTGGCATTTTTCTGTTGGTTTAGGCTGGGGACACACTGTCCAACGTAGGTGACAGATATTGGCACGTTATTGTAAATCCAGCACAGGTAGTTTGTGGTATTTAATGTTTGTACCATCCCACTGAGGGCAGAGCCCCACACGCTGCCCTGCAGGACAGAGCTGCGGCAGGGCAGCAGAACATGTTAGAGATAAACAGAATAAACAACCTTGAAACAGCACAGACCAATTATGGCTTCTGCTTTGGCAGTGGGGCTGACATTCCTATGCAGAATGTGTTTGGAGAATTGTTTCCCTGGGGTGAGTGCTTGGTTGGATTCTGGTGAGGATTGTTTGAGCCTGGTGGCCAATCCAATCCAATCCAATCCAATCCAATCCAATCCAATCCAATCCAATCCAATCCAATCCAATCCAATCCAACCCAATCCCATCCAATCCAATCCAGTCCAATCCAATCCAATCCAGTCCAATCCAATCCAACCCACCTGTGTCTGGACTCTCAGAGAGGGTCACAAGTTGTGCTGGAGTTAGAGTCAGAGAAAATAGTGTGTAGTTTTAGTATCCTCCTTTTATATAGTATATTAATGTATAGTATATGTGTATATATATATATATATATGTATATATATATATATATATATAGTATATGTATAATATATAATATATAGCATAGTTATAATAAAGAAATGATTCAGCCTTCTGAACTGAGTCAGATATCAGCATTTCTTCCCATTGAATTCACCTGCACTTAAAATAATTCCCCCTGCAATCCTCCCCACTTCTCTCCATTCCAGCCTGGGGAGCAGTGTCCCTGCACCCAAGAGGTGAATTCCCAAAGCTCCATCCCAGCCCTGTGCCTCAAAAGGAAAATCTGGTTCTAGCAGAGGGGGAGGAAAGCAGCAGCACCCGGTTCAGTTTATCAGGCTCCTTCCAAAGCCACTGCCTGTAGTAAATATATATATATTTTTAAAGATTTTTTATAGAGGTGCACAGAGAAAAATAGAAGAGAAAACAATTTCTGTTTCTACTCCTTGTTTTTCCTATATAGAATGTGTTTAGAAAATTGTTTACCTGGAGTGAGTGCTTAATTAAATTCTAGTGAGGATTGTTTGAGCCTGATGGCCAATCCAATCCACCAATCTAGACTCTCAAGAAAAGGTCACAAGAGAGTTAGAGATAAAGTAAAAAACCACTAATATATAGTTTTGGTATCCTCCTTCTATATAATATATTAATATATTTTAACATAGTTATAATAAAAAAAATAATTCAACCTTCTAAATTAAATCAAACATCATCATTTCTTCCCATTAAATTCACCCACATTTACAATAACTGCCAAGAGCTGCAAGTTTCTAAAGCGCTTCCAAAATAAACATGTAAGCAGATTGGATTGGCTTCGGGACCATCCCAAATAGCTTAATTATGATGAAAACCAGAGAAATG